CGTTAATGTCGTTGTGTTTTCGTTAATGTCGTTGTGTTTTCGTTAATGTCGTTGTGTTTTCGTTAATGTTGTTGTGTTTTCGTTAATGTCGTTGTGTTTTTGTTAATGTCGTTGTGTTTTCGTTAATGTTGTTGTGTTTTTGTTAATGTCGTTGTGTTTTCGTTAATGTCGTTGTGTTTTCGTTAATGTTGTTGTGTTTTTGTTAATGTCGTTGTGTTTTCGTTAATGTCGTTGTGTTTTCGTTAATTTTGTAGTGATTTTGTAATTTGTAATTGTGCTTCGTTAATGTTGTGGTGTTTTGCACCTCAGGGCCACCGTAGATCCTTGCCATCATTAAGCTTTAGTTCACAGTAAAAACAAGCAAACAAACGAAATCAAGTTTTTATTAACAAGCAGAACAACAAAAAGCGAGATGAGCACAGAGATCAGCATGAGTCAGCGAGTGAAGGAGAAATTCCAAAAACATTTGATGATGACTAAAATAAAGCAAAAATGTTTTGGAATTTGCTGGTGTTCTTTATATTTTCAAAGTTAGGTATGAGTTTGGACAAATGACGGTTCCTCACTAAAACTGAACGAGTCAGAAACTGAATGAAGAACTACACGGACTGTGAGATAATTTCTTCTGTCATCACCAGCTTCTACCTCCAAATGAAAATAGTTATTTTACAGGATTTTTGGCATTTCGTCACATGAGGAAACTGTGCTGATATTTATATTGTATTAGGTCGATCCCAGTTTCTCATCTAAAAATAACCAAATTCAAAAAGGAAAAGGAAAACAAAAAGAATCAAATTGCCTTTATTAAACTAAATGTATTGTTTATGTTACACATTCTAATGTTTGGGGATATTATGACATTACGTCTATTGAAATAGTGAAATGGAAGAGGAGACGGGTGGAAAATAGAAAGACCGAGAAGAAATGATGAATGAGAGCAGAAGAAAATGGGAAAACTGATAGAAGAGTTGAAGTGAGAAGGAAAACAGATTGCTGGAAGGAGGAAAGAGAGGAAGTTGTTTGGATGACTAGACAAAATAAGCTGAAGCTTAAATAAAAAGTTTTTAGTTTTTTTAAAAATTGCATCTAATTTCTTGACAGTTAAATGTTTTATTTTACTATTACCTGCGCGCTTTCAGTTTTGCCCGTAAACCTTTCTGCTCCTATTTTATCCGGACCTCTATGGCTGCCATGCCTGATCGCCATGACTGATGCCTCTTCAGACAGAGGAGGCCTTGCAGAACCAGAGATGAGCTCATGATAGCGGACTTCACTCACCTCACACAAACACACTATATCCTTAACCCCCACCTCCATATCTATTACTGCTCTGCTCTGTATTACCACTACAATTAACTATTAAGAAGACAACTGTGTGGATAAACACGTTCCTGCTGTTACACTTGATTATTGTTGCTTAAATATGACTAAATGTAAACTGCAACTGTCCCAGTTTTTTAATTTCATTTTCATTAATTCCTCTTTATGGCCAATCTCAAGTCAAGTCAAGTCAAGCGTACTTTCTTGTCAAAGATCTATGTAACAGGGTTAACACAGAAGTTTGAAATTGCGTTTCACCAGTCTCCAATGTGCAATTAAATTAGACATATAAGCATATAAATAAGACATTGACAGTAACCCCCCACCGCTCCCCCCTTCCTTGTGTCTCGAAGGGAAACTGATCAGTGCTACTTTCCTTGTTCTGAGTTGCATAAACTATAAAGTATCTCCCAATTTGTCATGCGTGGCCACCACTGAGCTCTGGATAACTAATGTGTTCATAGAATCATCCATTTCCACTCGTTCCATTTATTATTGATGTAAAAAGGTCTTGCAATGCAGTCTTGCGTCACACTTTTAGAAAAGGAGCATCATTTGATAAAGCCTGGACTTCCTAGTTAGGAGGGACAGATTTAATAAAGGAAGATTCATTTAGAAATTGCATTTCACCAGCAGTTTTCCAGCGACCAAGCATATAGGTGAAACAAAAATCAAAAGCACTCTGCTGATTTTTGTCTTTCCTTTTCTCGCCATTCAACGTCTTGTTTGCATGCTAAATGAGAATCCGAAGTTAGGAAGTGGAGCAGCTCTCGTTGCCAAAGAAACGCCTCTTGAAAGAAGCATCAAAGTGACACAGATACGAGTGCGCTCCTCGATGAGACGTCTCAGGGCAAAACCGGAGTGAAGTGAGGATTTGAGGCATGAAGATCTGTTTAAATTAGACAGCTTTCTAACCAGGCATCTTCGCTCACAATTCTGTGATCACTATATTCAAGTAAACTCACACAAAGTCACATAAATTTGGTTCTGCCACAGACGGAAGATTTTCTAAATAATTATCCCGGTCAGGACAATCGGCTTAACCTGTAGCAGCGTTGGAGAGGTGATGTGAAGCTTGGTCATATTTATTTATTTACTCTCAAACTGCATTTTTGTTAATCCTTGTTCAGTCTAGATCAATGCGGTTCAAATGTTACTTGTTTAGGCCTGTCAGATTTAGAGCTGTAGATCACACCTTCAAGAGTTCTTAAAAAAAATAAAACTGGAGAATAGCCCTTTAATTTACAGGCAAAGTCATGTTATTAACTCTATTCAGATATTCTCACTGTTTGTAAAATGCACCAAAAACACCAAATCTCTGTTGACTGGACTCCCAGTTAAATAAGTAAAAGGGCATTAAGTTGGCAAGCAACCATCAGAACTTTATGTATTTTTTTGTATTTTTTTATTTTTTATTTCTCTATTTGGAGAAGCAGTGCTGCCCCCATAAAAATGCAGCCCTGGGCAGTGAGCCATATTACCTTTTTTTAAAAGGTTACAAGTCACATACCAAAATTTAGTATGCCTGCACAATTGTAACTACCCGTGCCGACATATTGCTTCTTTCATTATAGTATCATTTTGGGGAATAATCTGCACAATGTGAAATTTTATTGTTTAAAATGAACATACTTTGTTGTGTAATTTTGGTTACGTATCACATAGCTTTTCATGTGGTATGGTAATGATGTGAACTTTTACTGAAATTTAGGCGACTGCGCAGTTCTCCCGAAACACTGAGGTGGATCTCACCAGTGAAGCCACAGAGAGTCCAGAGGTCCAACAAAAGAATCGGGAAATTGTGCGGAAAAAAATCCTTGACAACCAGTACAAATGTTTTGAGAAAATTAACAGAGATCCACCTTACAACAAATCAGGTAAGGGGGGAAGAGCCACTGAAATGCAGTTGAGTCTTTTTTTTTTTTTTTTTTTGGTTTTTTTGTGAATATGAGGGTTGTTGTTCGGTCGTTGCAACAGGTTTGTACTGCAGTCGGAACTGGGACGGCTGGCTGTGCTGGGAAGATACCCCAGCTGGAACTTACACATCCCAAAACTGCCCCAACTACTTCGATGACTTCGACCCCACAGGTACACGGCGCGAGGCAGGAGTCCGTCTTTTTTTTTTGTTTGTTTGTTTTGTTTGTTTTTTTTTTTAATAAAGATCTGCCGATTTGATCACGTTGATTTATTTCCTTTCAGAGAAGGCAACAAAGTATTGCGGGGAGGACGGGCAATGGTTTCGCCACCCGGACACCAACAGGACATGGTCAAACTACACACTCTGCAATGAAAACACTAAGGCAAAACTAAAGGTGATTTATGAGATCTCACTATTTTATATCTACTGCATGGAGGCAGCAGTGGGAATTCGTTTTTTGTTTTTTTTGTGCTCCGAGGCCTCTGGTAATTTGAGTGTGGGTAGGTGGGAAGAAATAACATTTTTACGACATACATAGTTGCTAAGATGCATTGCTGCGTTAAGCTGACGTGACGCTGTTATGCCGATGTTTATTGGAGAACAAAGATTAAAGTACAAATTGGTTAAGTGCTGCTGATTACCCGTTTGTGTTCAGCTGTCTCCTTATCTCATAGACAGGACAGTTAGTTGCGGCAGGTTCTGTTTGTCGAGGGAAGCAAACTTTACATTTATTGGAACAAAGCAATCAAATTTTTCACGGCTTTCTGTCCCTTGGGCTATAAAGACAGAAGCTCCCGGCTAGAAGCCCAGACTTTCCTTTTTCTTTTTTTTTTCTTTTTTATCAGGAGCAGCACCTGGCTGCAGTGTCAGACTGTAAACAGCACATGTCTTATAAAACTGGACAGAGATGCCACGTACTATACATTTTCAGCTGCATTGTCTATAACGATACTTTTAGCGTTATAAAAATAATTATTACTTCATTTGTGTCGCCAGTCTTTTCTGTATCTAACATAATGTTTTGTCCTTACAGTCGGCTTACATCCTGTTTTACATGGCTATTGTGGGCCACGCTTTATCCATAGCCTCCCTGCTTATCTCTCTGGCCATCTTCTTCTACTTCAGGTAATTGATGCAATTCGATATTGTGTTCCCATCCTGCATATATGAATCAATTAGGTTTAATTACCCGTAGTTCTGCCCCCTAAAGGTCAATCATTTTCATCATCAAAAGTGGATCCGACAGATACACAAGGGCCACACAGGTGGTGTTGTTACTTCATCAGCAAGAGGAACATTCTGGTTCCTGTAGTCAGCATAATCGTCTCCGAGCTTCTGACCAAAGCAGCATAGTGATGGGAATTTAAATGCTCACCGCAGAGCCGTACGCAGAACGTTTTGCAGCGCCGCTCGCTTTTGATTATGATTAAGATAACTGTTTCAATAACATCTTTTTTTTTTTTTTAACTCGGGGAAACATTTTGTATTATGTAAATGCTTTAGATTTGTATAGGGTGTTAGCGCTGCTGTTGCTGCTGCTGCTGCTGCTGCTGCTGCTTAAAATTAAAATGGGATCATCAGCCTGGAATTGGTTGATTTCCTCATGCACTACATTTAATTAATGTTCGTGTATAAATCTGCCGCTGTAAAGGAGTCAGGATGTCTGCTGAATGCATTGGTGGATTGCCTCTTATTTGAAACATATGCACCTGAGTGCATTCCTCATTACAAATGTTCACAGAGATGAACGGCTTTTTTTTTTTTTTTTCCCAAAGGGGAAATGTCCCGCAATTAATTTAGATTCTGCCTAAATCCATATTCATTATAGTTCAGAATAACAAGCCAGGTTTCTGGAAGAGATACATAAAGTTACAGAATGTAGGTGCAGGGCCATTTTTGTCTGCACTTTATTTTAGTAGGGAAATATCTGAATTAATGTAAATGTAGAATATACAAACTGGAGAAAAGTAGAGTAAAAAAAAATAAATCTCAGTTTTTTACTATAAAATTCTTTTTTTGTTGTTGTAATGATGAGGTGTCTCACAAAAGATGATTAGCTCCAGCAGTTTATGCGCAGCATAAATCAGCACACCTAATTTATGGTAGGTGCGTAAACCCCAAAACTCAAAAAGTCACCAACAAATATAAAAATCCTCAAAGACAACTTTTTTTCTTTTAACACAAGACTGCACATATTTTTGCCAAAGCCCTTAAAATCCAGAAGTCTTCATCTGTTATTATAAGATCCAGATGTTTAGTCTTCGATGTGGTATCTGATGGCGTGTCACTACACGTCTCACTTATTTACAACTCTTAAGTCATGGCTGCCAGATTTTATTAAATAAAACTAATCAGGTTCAACTTAGTTGAGGATGTGACCCAAACACTTTCAGGACAGGTGACAGTCTGGAGAGAAGCGTAAAAAAAATAAATAAATAAATAAACAAAAAGTAGCTTCACTTCAGTTATAGCTCACTTTCTATTCACAGCTGAAAACTTACATGATACGGCTCAATAAGTTTTTCAGTTAAAGCAAGAAATATGTTGTTTAATCAAGTCAAACCTGTCATCTTGTTTGATATTGATGTCTCTGTGTTTTATTTTATTGCATCTCACAGGAGTTTGAGCTGTCAAAGAATCACCCTCCACAAGAACCTGTTCTGCTCCTACGTGCTGAACTCTGCCCTCACCATCATCTACCTTGTCACCGTGGTCAACAATCCCAAAGTGGTGGCCAGCAACCCGGTGAGTCGCCTTAAATCAGAATGTACTTGTTGTGCCATCAAGCCTTCCCGTATCCAGTCATATTCAATACATTTAAACTTTTGATTTCTCAAATCAGAAGTATCTTTTGAGAATAAGCTTATTTTCATTGAGCCCACATATCTGTCTTTTGTTTTATTGAGGAATAAATAAAGGCTTGATAACATTCGTCTGTGTGTAGTTTGCCTTTATAATGCTTTTTACTTAGTAAATTGTCTCTGAATTAGAATAACTTTTAAATAATATTTGTTGAATATGACTGAAAATTGACAACCAATACATAATTTCAGCCTTATTGCCTCCCTTAATGAGCTAAAAATTTTAACACTTGGCCAAACAGAAAAAAAAAAAAAAAAAAAACACTTGTGTGTAATGCTGCATTTTAATTAAAAAATATTTTAATAAGACCTCAGATATTTGTCAAACTAATTAAAATGAGTGTTAATAATGTTTTTCTTGAAGAGATGTGCAGATTTATTTCCAAAAATGCATAAATAAACTAGGGTATTCTTCTGAGTGCTATTGTTGGGAGCCATAATGCGAAGTGTCTGTAATTATAACATTATGCATTATTGTAACACAGATTTTTATAGAGTTTACTTGCTTATCATCATCTTGTGTGTCTGATTTGCAGCAGGAGGGACTGGTGCACTTTACAGAATAGATAGCATTATAAGTAAACATATATGGAAATATTGAAGCAACGTTGTAAAAAACAAAAAAAAACAAAACAAGCAATGATACTTTATTCGTAATGAGCTAGGAAGGAGGTTTATTATCAAGACTTAACAGCAGAGAAACATAAGCTACCTAAACCAAGAGTAAAGCTTAGGTAAACTTACAAAACATTTAGCTCACCCTCGATAAAAAAAAAATAAAAAAAAAATCTATTCATTCAAATATTCTGGGCCAACATTGACCCTATAGGTTTAGTTGTGAAGTGGCTCAGAGACAACAAAGTCAATGTTTTCTAGGAGTCATCGCAAAGGTCAGATCTCAATCCTATGGACAAGTTGTGGTCAGAGCAAGACAGTCTACAAACTGACCAGTTCTGACCTAAAACAGAAAAAGTTCAGTCAGATTTTATCTAAGTTAGTGTGGGTTAAAAAAAAAAGTGTTTTTATACAATGAGTGAAAACATCTGGTTTGAAAAATGAATAAATTTAAATCTACCTGTATTCTTTTATTCTAAAATTAAACTGTATTCTAAAATTAAATGTTTAAAAAATACTTTTACGAATGATTCAGCTACAACGTGCCAGGCCGAAAGAGGACAGCCTATAAATGGAATCACTTACACTTTCCTGAAGTAAATCTTTATTATACCAGGCTACATGAAATGTAAACCTACGACACATAACAGTATTGGTATATTTATTGTGCCACGCCAGCAAGTTAAATTTAGTCTCTCCTCAGCTGCACACCAATGAGCGCGAGTTTTCTACATTCCACATTCTTTTCTACTCTTGGAGTTTCGCAGCTTCACCGAAAGCTGACGTGAAGTCTGTGGAACTCCGAGGCCTGCTTAGGCAGAGGTAATAAATCTGTCGTGTAGGAATGTCTCGCTATCAGGGTTGAACATAAATTTGTCTATTCGTCCTTGGAAACCAAAACAACGGAAGCCCCCGTAGCCAAATGCCCACTGCGTCTGCCTCTCAAAAAGGTTTTTTGCAGAATTTTCTCCAAATATGACAACAAAAAAAAAAGGAATTAATATCGTCTTCGCTTTTGTTTTGACCCAAATAAAACTGCATGCAATTAATATTCTCTGGGTTAATGAAACAGGATGAGATGTTTCCTAGAACTTTAAAGAAAAAAAAAAGAGTAATACGTGCCTCAACAATGTGGATGCCAACATTTAGCTAAAGTGGTTCAAAAACGTAGTTCAGGCAATCAGAGCGCTTCTCAAAGAAGAGATGGGAATGTAGAATTTGGCTCGTGTTTCTCCCCCAGTCCCATCATCCCCTGCTAAAGCATCTCTCTCTTGAAACAAAACAACGATTAGAAACACTGGAGACTGCAGAAGCTGCAGCTGGAACCGAGTCATCTTTCTGAATGTGCTGCTGCTCGACCTCTCCAAATCTCCGCAACACATGAGCTTCATAAATGGGCCCAAGAAGCAGAAAACACTGACAAACCTCATCGTCAATGTTTCCTCACATTGATAATGATAGGTGCTGCGTGTGGTGGCTCCCCTTTTTTAAATCCCTCGCTGTCGAAATTTGTCAAAAGAGGTTTTCGTTGAATCTGCTACTCTCCCATGTGGTCAAGTTTTGCTCGGCTGCCGCTGCGTGTCGAAAGCGAAATTAGTCACTGCGGCTCTGCTTCTGAAAAAAAAAAAAAAAAAGATCACGCAGAAAGAGAAATCAGGAGTAGCAACGGCTTGGAGTCAAATGCGCCTGTTGGGAAACATTTTGAAATTAATCGCTGCCACTGTGAGATGAATGAGCCTGCTTTCAGAGGTTGTGATTTAGGAACAGTAGATTCCCAGATAGCACATGATGTTAAATCAACGTTGAAAAATAGTTAGAATCGTTGATTTTTGGTTGAAGTCGACAAATGA